TCTCTGCATCCTCAGCTCTCCTCCAACTCTCGCCCTGACCTCTCCATCTTCAACTCCACTCCCACTCCCACCCTGACCTCTCTATCTTCAGCTCCCCTCCCACTCTCACCCTGACTTCTCCATCCTCAGCTTCCCTCCCACCTTGACCTCTCTGCCCTCAACTACCCTCTCACTCCCACTCTCACCCTGACCTCTCTATCCTCAGCTCCACTCCCACTCCCACTCCCACCCTGACCTCTCTGTCCTCAACTCCACTCCCACTCACACTCACACCCTGACCTCTTCATCCTCAACTCCACTCACACTCACACTCTGACCTCTTTGTCCTCAACTCCACTCCCACTCCAACTCTCACCCTGACCTCTCAGTCCTTAGCTCCCCTCCAACTCTCACCCTGACCTCTCTGTCCTCAACTCCACTCCCACTCACACTCCCACCTTGACCTCTCTCCCCTCAACTACCCTCTGACTCCCACTCTCACCCTGACCTCTCTGTCCTCGGCCTCCTGCACTGCTCCACTCTGGGACAAACCTCAGGAGCCATAACATTGTTTTCGTCAAAACCCTTCAACAACAACTTGTATTTATATAGCGCCCTTCACTCAGGGTAGTGTTCTGGAGCGCTTAAAGTGTCTTCAGCCTTTCGGCATGAATATCCAAACTGGCATCTTCAAACTTTAGCTATCTCCTCATTTTTAAGACCACACTTAGAATACTGTGTGCAGTTCCTGTCCGCACATTATAGAAGGGATTTAGAGGCACTGGAGAGGGTGCAAAGGAGATTCAAAAGGATGATCTCAGGACTGAGAGATTATACCTATCAGGAAAAGCTGAACATACTTGGACTCTTTTCTCTTGAAAAGAGGAGGGTAAGGGGTGACTTGATAGAGGTCTATAAAATGATGAAAGGTTTTGATAGGATAGATATAGGGAAGATGTTTCTACTTGTGAGGGAGCCCAAAACCATGGGCCATCAATATAAAATAGTCAGAAATAGATCAAATAGGGAAGTTAGAAGAAATTTCTTCACACAGAGAGTAGTGGGAATGTGGAACATGCTATCACAAGGAGTTGTTGAGGCAAATAGCATAGATGTATTTAAGGGAAAGCTAGATAGGTACACGAGGGAGAAAGGAATAGAAAGTTATGCTTGAAGGCTTAGTTGAGGAAGGGCAGGAGGAGGCTCATGTGGAGCATAAACACCGGCATAGACCATTTGGGCTGAATGGCCCGTTTCTGTGCTGTATATTCTAATATATTCTAATGTATTCTAATGTTTTTACCCCCTCCATCCTTTTTGCTTTTCTCTCCAGCCTTACTAATATTGCACAAATTTCCCTTGCCATCACCTCCATTCTCTTCCGTCCTCTCCCATTTACAGCATTACTCCTAATACAGTAGTTTTTTAAATCTGTTCCTATGAGTTTTTGTCTTTTGACTTGCTCTGCTCTCTGCTCTTGGAATCAGTGATTTTGTTTTGTTTCAAATTTTCAATATGGCGGTGTTTCTGTCTTTTGATTTAAAACCGCAGTGTTCTATATTTACTTAATTTACAAGGATATTGTAAAGTAAAGGAGGGTTTAATGTGTGGAGAGAAAAGTATAATGGACTCTTTAATTCAACACATTGTTTGCTCTCCTTTCCTGTTAACCTGTCACATTAGACACATGGACAGTCTCAATAGCTCTTATTAAAAAAAACGCCTTGGAATTTCAATGCTGTCTTGCACAAGGATATTAATGTTTTCATGTGCACTGAATTAAAGTGTGTCGTCTTGCCAGGCATTTTTTATAACTTTTTTTTATTTAAGCCAGACATTTTTTGGAAGAATGCAGGGGAGATATCTCAAAGTGGATTATTTAGTTAGACTCTGGAAAACAAACCACGAGCTTGAGTAAGTGGCATGCTTAATTTTTTAAAAAGGGATTTTTAAAAAATTCTAAGTGGGTTGTGTCCTTATCTTTCTTTGAGCCGCTGTTTTTACTTTGAAATGGCTGCGTGAGGGCACTCCAACCCAGCCATCTCCTTCGGTTCTTTAGGTCTGGGACAGCGACGAGTATCTTTGCTATCCTGTTGCATGACTCCCTATAGCGAGCACCCTCAGGACAAACTGTCTCAGAAACGGCAGCACCGTTGGACAATGTGAGCACTGTGCATTTCTTTTCTCTCAATTGTTTTCTCTAATCTTGAAGTCAGTGGCTAATGATTGATGCTTCAGAATAGAAAGTGGCTCTTGCTGAGCTGATTTAAACTGGGGGGAAATTCACAGCCTGTCCCTGTACATGGTCAACCATAGTCGTGGCCTTTCCAAAGGCCCTCAGCACCCCTGGACTAAGGAGGGGGAGAGAACTGAAAGTAATTTGCAACAGCACTTTTCCACATAGTTAAATGCCTCAAAGTGCTTTACAGAGGTGGAATGGAGTGGGACTGTGAGCAGGGTGAGGGGTAGAGGGGAGAGAACCTATAATGCAGTTAAAGAGGTAGGTCTTTTAAACAGGTTTGGAAGCGGGGAGGGAAGGTGCGAAGCAGAGGGATTTAGGGAAGAGAGTTCAATCAGCCAGATTTTCAATTCCTGACTGGTCCCCAGTGACCTCAGTTGCAAAGTGAGGATCTAGATCTGTTGCGATTTGGTCAGCTGGGTGATCGTCGTATAAGGAAACCACTCACCAAGCTTAAGATGGTTTCTGCAGGGTTCAGTTGCGATGGCTTAACTGGAGAACATTTAGAGTCTGTGGAACCAGCACGAGTCACAGGTTTCAGCAGAGGCTAATAGAATGTGGGCCAAAAAGACTAATAACAAATCGTGGCACTGGAGATGTAAACAGAACTGAAAGTGAATCCCGCTGCTTTTGCTGTGGGATCGTGAACGAGATACGGCTGTCAAAAGAGGAGATGGTGTCCTGTCATCTTAAAGCTGCACATTATTCAGGTGTGGGTTCATAACTCTGGCACTCGCTTTCAAATCGGCAGCTTTTCAGCCGCCTCGCCTTTTAATCATAATTTGTAATTTTGACGAATGAAAGGGACTTTTATGGAAATTCATCCTTCAAGCCATCTTGCCTCCTTTTAATAACGCACCAGGTCCTTGCAGACTCACGGCTAAAACTTCTGGGATAAAAGAATGCCATTGTCGGCTTCGGCAAGCGACAACTGGCAAAATATGGAATCGGATAGTTCTGCAGTATAGTGTTCACACTTCATGAAGCTATGTGCCGATCTGCACAGACTGCTGCGGGTGCTTTCTGCATGGATAGGATTTATTTAGTTGCTTGTAATTTTTTTTTTGCATCTCCTTGTTATTCACTGCACTCGGATAAAATGTTGTTGCTGCCTTTGAGTGCAGACGTGTCTCTTTAATATCTCATTTTTAAAGTATTTGACAGCTTCTTGGCTCTCGTGTTGGGGGTGGGGAGAGGAGGGTAAAATATCCCTTTAGTTGTATATCCAAATTAACTTGGATTTATTGATGCCCAGAGACTGCTATCTGTGGTTTCTATTCCACTGTTTGTGCCAGGTCTGTATTAACAAGTGGAGAGTAGCTCCATGTGTTTGTTGAATATCACTCGTCTGTCAAGATGCAGAGTACTACTGGAGTGCCCCATCCCTCCCCCATTGCATTCCCAACATGTTTAAACTGTCCCAGATCTAGGTGCTTTGTTACAGATATGCAATAAAATATTGCAGTGTGCTTCATGCTCTTCTGAAATTGTGCTGTTTCTGTCATAGCAAAGCTTAATGTTATGGACGCCACTCAACCGCAAAGACATTTTACCCCCAGACAAACCGTGTTACTGTATTTTCTGATTTTTAAAAAGCAACCAGTGTCTGCCGAGCGGAGGGAGTGGGAAGGTTGATCGGGTTTTAGAAAGTTGTAGATGTGGGATGGGCAAGACTGTGGAAGGATTTAAAACTGAGGACGAGGATCTTGAACTCAATCCTCTGGGGCTGGGGAGCCAGTCCTCACCCTCACATATGAATCCCTCTACTCCTCTCCACCCCTCTGCTCAGCTAACACATCCCCTACCACCTCCAGACTACCATCAGTAACTGACCCTTTAGTCCCTCAACATCTGAGGCTTCCTGCCTCTAACCCTCTATCTTCTCCCCATCTCTTTAAATCTCATCTTGAAACCTAGTGCTTTGACTAAGCTTATGGTTACCTCCTTTTCCCCTTCTCCCTTCCTTGGTGTCCAACCCCACCGCTCTGAGACATTATCCTACTCAAAGGGTGCTATATAAGTTCAAGTTGTTGTGTTAAAGATCCCATGATACTATTATAAAAGAGAATGTGGTCCCAAAAATCCCCCAGAGAAAAGAGATTCATTGATGATGTTAGTGGGATGCTGCTGTGCGCAAATTGGCTGTTGCGTTCGCCTACAAAAGCAAATGCTGCACCACAGTTTTGTTGGCAATTAAAAGGAGCAGTAACTTTGCTTCACATTTGCAAACTGGCCTCACGTTTCTTTTAAGATCGTGTGGCTCATCCTCCCATCTCCTTGATAAATAAGCAAGCCTGCAGTTTTTGTGCAACTTATTGATTCCCTTTCATTCTCTTTACCAGTCTCTATATTCAGACTGGTCAGTCTGTCAGTCAGTCACACACCTCTGCCGTAAAGCTGCTGTTCCTCTTGTTTCCTCCCTCTGCTCCCATCCGGAGCATCCTCAGAATGTTTCTAACTTGTGTTTTTTGGTAATTTTCCGCTGGGTATATTAGAGGAAAGGGAAGCTGCTGTATGAAGTCGAATGGCCTCAGGACATTTCAGTGTTCTGCTGTTTGGACTGTGCTTTCTATTTATTTGGGTGTTGGATGTTAGATTTGCAGTCCCATTTCGAGGAGCGGACGATTAACATACACCTGACATCAATGGTTTCGCTGGCCTGTAATTCACAGAGCAATCCTCTTGGGATTTATTCTTCAGTGGGGAGGCTCAGACCCATTGTCAAGAGAATGGTTGGTGATATCACTAATTTTTTTCTTGTTGCAAACATTTGTTTTGACAGCACAGATTTCCAGAAGAACAACCCTGTTCACAAGCTGACTGAAGAGGAGCTGTTAGCGTTCACGTCGGTAAGTACCACATTTTCTCTTATCGTTCCTTTTCTCAGGCTACGGGCCCTCACACACTCGCTCGATATTCCCCCTGAGCAAATGGTTACAATACAAGGCTCTGCAGTCCGTTTCCCACAGTGCGCTCCTCTACTGGGCTGAGTTAGTGGAGCTAATGGAATCTAGACAAAGAAAAAAAATGTTTGTGAGCTGCAAATCTTCATGAAAGTAAAAAAAATAACGCAAACGCTACGAAATTATCATTTGAAGAAACAATGCTGCTTTTGTGCACTAGCCTTTATAAATCCACAACTGACCCCGGCTTGAGCATTTGCGCTTTGTTTCTGTTCTTATAGATTAAGGGAATAAAACTATAGCTTTGAATTGAACCCATGAACTTTACCCAGGAGCGTGATCAGTCTGCTTTCCACTTTATTTTTTGCCTTCGTTCAATCTTATTTTTCTCAATGTTAACTGTGTGTGTCATGGGAGCCCACAAAACAAAGTTTAATTTTGTGCTTTAGGAAGGATCTTGTGATTCATACGCACCGGGCATGAAGTCACCATTTGTCAAAAGAATATGGGATTCCAGCCTTTGTTTGTGTCTTTTTTAGTTCCAAGGGATGTATGCGGGAAGGAGTGGGGTGGGAGGGGGGGGTGGGGTAGAGACAGTGTGGCAGACTGCGTCGAGACATCTAATAACCTTCATGGTGCCAAACTTCTGTCTGTGCCTCTGTCTGCTGCCAGCCTGATGCCTGGCATCCACCCGATGCCAGGCATACACTACACTGACCCTACACTGATCTTACATTTCGTATACTACACTTACAGTACAGAACAACACACTTAGTCACTGCACTTAAACTGCACTGCACACCTACCCAGCACCAGAGAGTAACTTGCTCAAAAAAAGCTTAATATTCCCATCAGCTGATGATGTGGTAATTTCTTTCCTGGTTAGTGATAGTGATAATGTTCTCGGGCCTTAATAGAACGCCAATGTAGCCCAGAGCTGCCGTTGTATCATTTTTACAATGAAAGCAGAGAAGCTGTATCAGTATTACTGGCTGTATAAACCAAGACCAGCCAGTCAGATATTATACAACTTTTGATTTTCTTGTTCAATTTTCGTTTACTTTTGTTTATGCTCCAAAAATTGTGCCTTTTGTCTGCCCCACAAAAAAAAACAATTTTGAACATTATTTTTTATTCAAATCACAACGTTTGAATTCCCCAAAGTACACCAGCATCATAACCACTGATCAACTCCGCAAGCAGCATGTTCTCCTGGGGGTCAATCTCCTATACAAGGTTCCCAATCGGGTTTCCTCTGAATCTAAAGTACATTACATGACCAGCAGGAAGTCAACAACAGCTTGCATTTATATAGCACCATTCTCATAGGATAATGTCTTGGAGGATTTTAAAGTGACGAGGTCAGATGCAGAGCAGGGGAGGTGACCAGAGGCGCAGTTGAAGAGGTAGGTTTTAAGGCAGGACTTAAAGACGGACAAAGAGCTGAGGGAGGGGTAAAGGGAAGGAATTCCACAGATTAAGCGAGTCGGATCTGAAAGCTCAGCCATCGATAGTCTTGCAGAGAGGATGAGGGATGCATAGTCGGGTTGAGAAGAGGATTGGGATAAGAGGAGATCAGAGAAATGGGGAGATGCTGCACCCTGGAGAGACTTAGAGGAGAGGGTGAAGACATTGATTGCTTGGAGATGTGCCATGAGAGTCAATTGGAGAAACCCTCCCCCCCCCCCCCCAGCAATGGAGCGTTCACTCTGGAAGTCGCTGGCGACACAAGTCCAATTTAAGAAATCTTGTTAGAAATCACAGCCTATTAGCCCACCCGCCCCCACCACCAGTAAAGGTACTTTTCACACAGAGGGACATTTCTCTTTACAGAGACCTGAATTAGTATCAATCCTGGTGTCCAGCTTCAAGGTGGTTGTGATGCTCCAAAAAGAGTGTTTAAAAAATATATTTAATGTGACTAAAATTTACTTTTTCATTCACTTCCACTGGCTCTCAAGCTTTTGTTTTTGACCCAGTTTTTGCACTGCCACAAACATAGGGCGATTGTCACACAACTAGATAACATGCGCTCTGTGTTGCGCTTTGAAGCCACTGTGTGTGAGAGCAGGTATCTTCCCAGCCTACACGTAGGTCCTGAAATCTGCAGGCTGGTTTGATGGTTGTCTTGCACACAGCAAGTGTGAAATGTAAATGCAACTTTCTGTAGGCGAACGTATACCTCTATTATGGCTATTCCTCCTTTGAGTGAGAGCAGAACATAATAATAATAATCCTTGCATTTGATATTTGAATTATAATTATTATAATTACTAAAGCACTCTGAGACGCTGTCTGGTGTGAAGGGTGCCATATAAATGCAAGTTGTTGTATTGTTATTTATTGGGAATATATATGACTATGTAAGTGCATTTTTACTTCAGTTTGCACTGAAACTATATGCTGTATGTGATTATTTCTCCACATGAGGAGAACAAAATGATGTGTCCCAATAGAGGGTGCATGCGAGTGTTTTTTCTTAGAACTCTTATCTTGGGATGTGGGCAATGCTGGCATTTTGCCAGCATTTATCGCCTAGAGAAAGTGGCTGTGGGCCTTTCCTTTACAGTTGAGTGGCATTTTAAGAGTCAGACACATGGTCTGGGACTTGAGACATTTCTAGGCCAGACTGGGTAAAGGTGCGGATAGACAGATTTCCTTTCCCTGAAGGGCATTGAATGAACCAGCTGGATTTTTGCAGCAATTTTGTGGCTGTTTTTCTGGCGCTAGCTCAGATTACCAAATTTTTGGAATTCAAATCACACACAACTGCCATAGTGAGATTCAAAACCATGTAAACTCTGGGCAACTTCTCCAGTGCTGTACCTGTGAACCACTCTGCTTCTGTTTTGTCACCTTGGTGCTTAGGCTGCACAAGAAAGGCTGTGTTAAAAGTTGAATGAAAACATCAGGAGCTGTTGAGAGAAAGTGTGAGGGAGACAGAGGGAAGGAGGAGGCAGTAGAATTATCCTAACACTATAATAAGCCGCAACAAAACTCTGCAATGGTCTGAGTTTTTAACCAGAAAAATACATAATGTGGGCAGTGGCGGAAAAGGTAATCCCATGTTTTTTCACAATTAAAGCAGCAGACTGGTTGTTATTAAGGGACCTTCAAAAGAGCAATCAAAAGTTGTGTGCTTGTGGGGGGCGGGGGGAAGAGGAACAAATTAGGGAAGAGTTGGGGTTACAGGTGTTGATGTTCAGCCACGGTAGACTGAAGTCTGCACAGGTACCTGCAGGTGGCTGGTTTAATGGAGTTCTCCTTTACCTATTAGTGATCTTGTCCAGCAGCTCAAATAGGAGAGTTCAGGGGCCTCAAATTCAGCTTATGGGCCGACCTTGTATTGGTGCCTGTTCACCTCAGCCAGGTGTGTTTTGTTATGCGGTAAAGGGATCGCAGCTGCTCAGCTCTTTGGGTAAGAGAGGGACAGGGATTGAAGTTGAATGTGGCTGAGTGGTGAATGTACCGTCCTTGCTTTGTCTGCTGAGCAGCCTGTGATAGAGGAATGAAGCTCTGGCACTGTGCTGCTTGCTTTCCAGCAAAATGTTGCACTCAACTATATTTCACTGCTGAATTATGGCAGATTTGCTGCTAATATTAACCAGCTATAGAGAATATATGGAAAATACCCGATTTATGGTTTTCACAACAGCCACTCAGTGTGATTTATTTTTCAATTAGCTGCTCCGGATGGGTTCTGCATTTATAAAAATATTGTGTATAATCCCTCGAGCTGATCCAGAAGTGTTGGATGTCTGGAGATTTATAGTGAAAATTGTAAAGATATCGCAGATCATGTTGTGGCAGCCGTAAATTGGTCGCCTCTGGTCCATGGAGAGCACAAAACAATCTGTTTTTGGGGGTGAGGGGGTGTGGCTGGTTTAATGATTTGCACGTCCCATTTAAATCAGTAATCAAGATGTGGATTTTAATAATGGAATCCCATACTTTCCTGAGAAAAGCGAGTGCTTGTTGAAATAACCTACTAAATACGTTAGCAGCAAAGTCTGGCCGTTCGCTTTCCCTCCATGCTCTCCCAATTTTCAATAAAGCAACATTTTGGCTATATTGAGTGTGTGCGCTTGCTCGCATGTGCGCGCGAGCGTATGGTGTGCGCGTGTGTGTGTGCCTTCTTATCTCAGTGACTGTGTATACAAAGGCCAGTAGAGCCATGGGACTGACAGATTGAGCTGTTGTATCCAGTGCTAAATGCTGATTTCATGGATAGTAAACTTAATAGTAAAACATCTTGTGTTCGTCAACTCTTGGGTCCCCATATGGATACACCCTGTGTGGATGGGTGACTCTTCCCACCCTGCCTTAAATCTTACTCGATCTTACACTGAATTGTGACTGAAACGTCTCCCTGCTTTCATCTTGCCTTGGCACATGTGGTCTGCATGCTTAGGCAAACAATAGAAATCAGAAAGTTGTGATAGGAGACCAGACAACCTTCAGTCTAGTTTTGAAAACAGCCCAGACTGGGCCGAGGGGCTGGTTTATCAACCGATACAGAATGACTTGATCTGAAGAATTTTCCTAAATTTACGCAATGTTCAATTTTAAGACGTGGGTAAGACCATGAGAAATCTGGACCTTTGGCTCATTATCTGGTTGGCCCTTGCTGGGCGGTGTCAGGACAGGATTAGGCTGTGATGTGATGATCAGTCTATTGTCCTTGCGACACTGTTTGTGCAACCAAAAGGGGGAAGTGCCTTTGGAACTTCTGGAAAAATGGCAAGAAAGTGAGAAATGGGAGAAAAGGAGGAGAATCTTCATCTAGCAATACAAAAACAGATAGTTTGGAGGAGCCATTGGGCATCGGTGTAACATGCTCAGACATTTCAGAGATCCCAGAGAGACATGGGGGAACAGGAAGAGGCCATTCAGTCCAGCCAGCCTGTACCACCATCTTATTAGATTTTGCAGATCTTTTGATCTCA